ACGTAAGAAAAACCTCAGAACTGCACAAGTATTAAAAAAGGAGTTCTGTAGAAGAGTAATACAGCTCTGTCAATGCTGTGTTGATAGCATAGGAAGAATGTCTAGCACACCTCATTCATAATTAGGAAGAGGCTGAAGTATTAATATTCAAGTACTTCATAGCTAGCTTGTTGCATATTGAAATATCACTGCCACAAGGAGAGTAACATTTTAATCAGCTTAAGCTGCTCTGGATTCTGGACATGCATTCTAGATGTACAGGACACTCCAAAATTTTTTCATGTGTGTTTACCAAAAGTAAGTGGAGTATTTTGTTGAAACTAACGGCTTTCTTTCTAACGTGAAAAGGGTCATATTGAAGTGCTGGCTTTCTTCTTACATGCATTAGCTACAGAATGTGCTTGGCACTATCTGTGCTGAGATTACCGCTCTGGATGTAATTTGTTCATAGTGGTATCACGTCAGGTGTCAACAGATCCAAAGTAGCTGAATTTGGCACAGGCTTTTAGATGCTTTTCACCTGGATTTCATGTTTTCAGAAGTGTTAGGTATTTGCTGTCTAAAGCTTTAAATATAGTGAAATGTTAATTAAAAGCAGTTGTCCTGCTTATCAAATTTAGATTTTGTTTCCTTACTGTGTTGTGAGATTACTGTAGCCCTCACTGGTCATTTAAGTGCTGGATCATTTTCTCAGCCACTGTAGAGCTTTTCCTTATTTCTGAGTGTGGCAAAGGGCCTTATTGCCCAAATACACAGTCACGGTCTTAAAAAGCACCATAGGGCTGTATTATCAGATACGAGTATCACGTCCTTAACCATTTCAAACAGTACGTGCTCTTGACAAGAGCAGTGTCTTTAATGAGCAAAGTGGAACCTTAAAGAAGGATTGCTACTGAACTGTGATTGATGTTAATGCAGTGAATCCATGTGGAACAGCAAAGTGAGAGATGCAATACTTTTTTGTTTGGAAGAGAGCTGTCTTCCAGTTCAACTTCCCCTTGACTGATGATACTGAAGCAGACGGTCTGATTGCCCCCTATGTTATGCTAAGCTACTGAAACATTTAAAAAATCAGTTTCTCCTAATTTTTGTCACTGTTAGGAAAATGCTATTCAGCATCTGCATGTAGAAGCCCTTACTGGATGTTATTGCCATCACTAAAGAGTGTTGTCTCATAATTTGATAACATGATGTGCAGATAGACCTACTCTTCAGGGGCTCTTTTCTCACTGTCCTTCCCATTAATGCATTCTACATACATATTTTTTAAAGAACTGCTCTATTAGTTCCTGTCCCTCTGCCCTTCAATCATTGCCCTGAAAATAACAAGCTGAATTAATTTGATGTTACAGACTGTCTTTCAAATTCTAGATCTTTCTTCAAAATGCTGAGATGGTTGAAATGTGGGGTTTGTATGCCGCAGGGGTATCTTATCCCTGCTCCCATACACCCTATTATTCTCTTTGTAATTTCTGTTCTGCGTTTGGTTAAACATATGATGACCACTTGTATCCTGTAAGATGAAGACGTCACTAGATTTGTGTTAACCGTGGCCATTGGAAATTGAATGAGAAGTGATTTCATTCCCTATTCTGGTTCACTGAAATCTGGTTTTAAAATGGCTTGATCCAAAGAACTGCTTTCTGTGGCTCAGTGCTGTTGTATGTAATAGAAGTGAGCTTACTGCACTCTGCAGCTTACTAGGCTTACTGTTTGCAGAGCTGTCGGAGGTCTGAAGCAGAAACATCTGCAGATATGGGGGTAAGTCATCAATTTGCAAACTGCAGTACCTGAAAGTCAGACATGTTTGTTCTGTGCTGAACTTCTGTCATCAGCTTTTTACTGTCAGCCCACACGCTATTGTGTAGCAATTATTTAACAGGCATAGCTGGGAAGCTCTAGTATGAAGATCTTATTTTGTCTTAGCAACAGGCACTGTCTAAATCTATAAGTGTTGTGTTTAACTATATAGGGCATCTTGACACTGGCCACAGCCTCTGACTTACACTGAATTTAGTAGTTAGAGTAGAACTTCCAAAATGTTGTCTGAAACTTTCTAGTCCGAGCTCTTTCAGAAGAAAAGGAATGTAGACAGGAATAGAGAGTGAATGGAATATAGAAGTAACTACAATAAAACACAACTTCCCAGCATCAGCTCATTAGTCACTCTTGGTGGTATTTAATTTGTTATTTTTCTCATCTGCTGATGAGCCTGGCTCTTTGGTTTTGTTTCTTTCATGCAGCAAAGGTGTTTAAAAGTTTGGGTTTAAGTGGTGATATGCCAGGTAGACTGTCAGGAGCATCTTCTTTCTCTTGTGCAAGGGAACCCTTATCCACGCAATGTGATTATCTGTGCAAGAAGCAGGAGATGTTTGAAAACTCATGTGTAAGATCTCAAAAGCAGTTGTTCTGCTTTTTTGTTCTTCTCTTCACCAAGCTAAACGAGCCCAATTCCCTCAACCTTTCCTCACAGGAGAGGTGCTCCAGCCCTCTGATCATTTTAGTGCCTTCCTCTGGACCATTCCAAGAGCTCTGTGTCTTTCTTGTGCTGGGGGCCCCAGGCCTGGATGCAGTGCTGCAGATGGGGCCTTGCAAGAACCGAGCAGAGGGGGACAATCACCTCCCTCTCCTGCTGACCACCCCTCTTTTAACACAGCAGGAGATAGTTGGCCTTCTGGACTACAAGTGCACACTGCTGCCTCATGTCCAGCTTCTCATCCAGCAAGAACTGTTTCTTCAAGATTTCCAGCTTGTCTCCTATTTCTGTGCCAGATTTTTCTATCATCAGTTTTGTCTTGACATCTCTTTACTTCTGCACGTGTTTTCTTTTCTCTCCTGTGTTCCCGTCTGTCTTCAGTTTCTAAGGTTCTCTTTCCGCATTCTGGGTTCTACTACTCTATTTTCATCTGTCATGATATCAGGACTGTTTTCTCAAGGTGGTTATGTGAAATATGGGCTTTTCTTGTCGGTATGTTAATACTAGACTACTTCAGTAGCTGCTGAGGTTAGAATTGCTTAGAACTTTCAGACACTTTTAGCCCTGATCTTCTTTCCAGTGGGTTAACTAGAACCAAGGGTTAACTGGAACCATGAATGAAGGATTGGGGCGAAGGACTTGTGGAATTATAGAAGAAAGCTTGTAGGTCTCTATAAGAAGACCTAAAAATATGTAACAAACTTTTAATCCCAGGCTTTTCTGTCATCCAGGAAAGATGCTGAAAATCCCTTCATATAGTAGAGTGGGCTTTCTATTAAGTTAAAACAGGTAATGAAGTATCCGAATTCTCTATGACAATGTGCCCCAACCACAAATACCCTTCAGCATCTTGTAGTGCCTGGAGATGAAAGGGAACAGTAGTAAAGCTGCAGGGATGAGTTGGAGGAAGGCTTTGGAAGCAAGTCCTTCTGATTTCTGAAAGAGCAGTAATAAAGGTAAGCAAGTCTTCAGTGCCCAGTGCAAAAGCTTTGACCATGCCAAGGTACTGCAAACCCAGAAGCACAGCTGTCACATCAGTAACCCTCAGGCTTAAGAGGCTGCAAATAAGATACTGCAAACCCAGAAGCACAACTGTCACATCAGTAACCCTCAGGCTTAAGAGGCTGCAAATATGTTTTTTTTTGGTTTTTGTGGCAAGAGAGAGAAGTAAGATGCTTGTAATGGGCTAAATAGCCTACCAAATCTGATTACTCAAGAGATACTAGTTTAACTAAACCCACTTTTCTGAAGAGATGACAAAATGTGGTTGGGAACCTGTTTCAGCATTACTGTGTGCAGTGCCTAATGGTTCTGTTTGCTGACAACAGTTCTCAACCTGATCCCAAACGTGTCAGTTGCTACTTGGAGCAGCTAAACATCTTTAGACACCCTTTCTTTAAGGGAACATCTGTGAGGGTAACATTCTTATGGATGTGCAAGAGAAACTTGAAGAACAGGACCTTGTTTGGGGACGATGGATGTGAAAGTTAGATCTGTTCCATGTTGTGGTTGGAGTGTTGTTGGCTGCTGGTGGGAGTGTGCTGGTTAATTCCATTTTTGTGAAGGACGCCTGTTGGGTGCTGCAGTCTGTTAGCTGGAGGACTTCAGAAACAGAGCAGCTCTGATCCTATATCATACATAGCATCAAAGGAGGACTTAGATTGAGTTATTCAGGGAGTTATGCTGTGGTGTTTTAAGAAAGATCTTGTGATATATTTCTAGTACAGCAAAAGAAGCAGATCTGTTATTGAATGCACCACAGGCATCCTGGAGCAGGGCTGACAGATCAGCAAGTATTCTGCAGCTCCTTCTAGTTAAATAAAAGCTTTTCTTTGGGATCAGACTGCTCTGTTACGTGCTGCCTGAACATTCCTTTAACATTTTAATCATGGAGTATTTGCTTTATTAACTTCTCAAAAAAAGTTGTTAATGAAATTCCGTGAGCACTGGATGAAAAATGTTACCACTGCTTCCTTGTGCATGTTTGAAAACTTTATCTTGCTACCAGTTTCTGTGTACCAGCATTGTGTACAGTTGTGTGTTTTACCCACTGCGTCGGGACAAGCGCTGTGTTGTCTGACGGGCTCTGCATACCAAGTGTCATAGTATCCCTTTTTAGAGCAACAGGGATTAAACCGAAGAGGATCAGTGTGGTATTTCCAGTAGGAAAAGCTATTCTTAATAGTCCTGCAGGGGAGGCAGGTTGTTCTTGCTCACTGGGTCTGGGAAGGAGCAACTTCTGAGTACTGTGACCTAGAGCTCTGCCTTCCTAATTAATCTGGGTGTTTCTTCTTGTCTCTTTTTTTTCTCTTTTTTGCCACTTAGGTTGTCAGACCATAGGCTAAATTACTGTCTTAATTATTGACGCTGTAAAATAAGTTTGGCTATTGGTCTTGGCAATAGGATAAACAAAGCAATTGTCAGCGGCGTATCCTGTAATCCAGAGATAAGACTATAGAACTGCATAGGATTATGCAACACAGTATGTATAAATTTGCTAAAGCTTTTTCAAAATATTTTTCAGGTTCTAAATGGCTTCTAAGAAGTTGGGATCCGACTCTCACGGTGAGTGGAATTTGTTATCTTTCAATCAGATGAATCTCAGTATTGTTGCTGACTAGAGCCTTGGCTTAGAAAGGCCACAGAGGCTAATTGTTCAGCCTTAGATGAGATTTTTTGTTGTAAATGAAGTGCCTTGGCTTCCTCCTTGCATAGTTGCTTGCTGATGCTGTGCCTGTTCTCTAGTTAAACAGAAATAAAGCTGCTGATTACCCTCCATTATCCCCTCCCTCCACTCGTGGCAGACTAATACCTCCCCAAGAATCCCCTTCAGCATCAAAGGTGAACTGTAATTATGGTACTGATATGAAGATCACTGAAGCAGTCTCTAATCTGCAGCTTACTCTTATGAAAGTCAAGTGAGCAATTGGATTGAAAGTTAAGCTTTTAATATAGCATTGTGCTTGCTTTTTTCTTAGCAGCGAATTTATTCCTAAACTGGACTTCCATAACTGCAAGCTGTTGAGCTAGATAAGTGAAGAAGAGATTTTTGTCTGTGTCTGAGATGTGTGATGTCATGCAGATGTTTGGCATTATAAAGAATTACTTTCTTGTATATGTGCTACTCTTAGAAAATGAGATATAGATTTGAAAGAGCTCTTATTTCCTTAGAGACCTAAGTACAGTTTGTTATATATAATGCAGACCCTTAAAAGAAGTAAATAAAAGCTGCTCTGGGAGGCTCAAATGAAATGTCTAACATGATTGTTGTAGAAAGAATATTTTGTGTCAGAAAAACAGCCTTGATTTTTCAGGGTAGTCTTTCTGAAAATAGAATCCAGAGGCATTGCTCTCCCTCCTGAGCATGTTGTTCTATCTTGCAAGCATGAAATTGAGGGATGTAGTAAACTTAGATTAATTTAAATACACGTTAAGGATTAATAGAAGTAGTCTACCAAAACTTGATCTTTGGATAGCTGCCTCTGTTGTTGTGGCAATTTACTTCATTGTTAGATAACTGCCAACTTCAGTTGCTGTTCTCTGGACTGCTTGTCTTTTGAATCCGTCTGCTTCCTAACCCAGGCTAGAAGAGACCCTGCTCAGAGATGGAAATAAGCCTGTCTTAGATGTTTCTTAAAACAGTGCAGTTTGGTGGAACATGCCCCTGGCTTCAGAATAATAAGGTCAAAACAGGTGATGCTGTACCATGGCTAACTTGACTACCTTCCTCTGTACCCTCTGTTCCTAATGATATCCTTAACTCTGTCACAGTACTGGTTCTGAATAGTGGAACAGATTTCTTACTGATTTTCCAAGAAATAAGCCAAGGCAATTTTTTCACTCTTTTCCATAGTTGGGAAGCATCAATCCCACTAATTGATTTTTGACTTAGTGTGAAGCATCTAGTCCAGCAGCTGCATTCTGATCTCTTCATCTGCTTTCAGCTCAGGTTCTGTGACAAGCTGAAATTGGTCAACCAAGTTGGTGGATCTCTTGTACTTATTGTTCAGCTGTGTATTGAGAGTTAGAGGCTGAATTCCAGGAGGTTAAATCACAGAATAGCTAAGCTTTGCAGGGAGCTTTGGAGGTCATCTTTTCCAGACCTCTTGCTGGGCCACCTGGAGCGGGTTTCTCAGAACCTTGTGCAGATGGGAAGAGGCTGGAGACAACAGAACACATTTTTTTGTTTCTCCACTTGAGGGGTGATTTATGACTTTGCGTAAAATGTAACTCCGTGTGCTGTCTTGTCATCTGGATAACTGGAAGTTCAAGCTTACGTTCTAGCAAAAGTGGCATCCAGGAGTACAGCTCTCATCTGATAAGCAAAAGGACAGATTACGTTAAGAGCAACAAGTTAATGTTGCTGTTGCGTTGTCTCTTACTCTGTACAGTTCAAAAACTTTCCAATCCAGTTTCTGAAAATCACATGACCTTAGTTTGTGTGGCCACTGAAACGAAGTTGGTTTCAAAACAGTTTCCAATTCATTACTGGTAACTGCACTTTATCTGAACTGTTCTCATTGTGCTGTCACACTGCTTCTATGGATTAGCTGGCAGTTTCTGCATTACTGAAGTGGATAGAAGTCTTTCACAGCAGTAGTTCCTTGGTCCAGGAGTGTCGTATAGTGTGTGGCATCAGAGAGCAGTCAAGCAGCTACTGTTCTACTGGGGCTGTTCTCACAGAGCCCTCCCTCAGTTTGTCATAAAGCCCTTAAAGAAGATGAAGGAGCTAACATGCTTTTGAAACTACAGTTAGAAAACGTTTGATGGCTTTGCTTAAACCACTGAAATAATGGCTTGTTTACATTGTGTATGGAGGTTCTGCTTATTGTTTTGAATTTGCTGTTTGTGTCCTTACCCATCAGAGTGTTTAGACAGTATGGCCATCTGTTTGAAAAAAAAGATACTTTGCTTACTGCTCAGTTTTTAAGTTTGCTAGACTAGTGCTGTTCTGGCTGTGTTGGAACAAACTGAGTACTACGTGCTTCAACATTTCACTTCGGGAGGGCTTCTAGCATTATGGACTCTTCATTGTCAAAATGTCTAGAATATTTTGTGTGTTTCTTGTTTGATATCCTTGTAGCTGAGTTGTGTTCAAGGCAACAGTATAGCAGTGTATTAGAAAACTGTCACATTAGGAAGACATTGGGAAGTTTTCTCCTTAGCCTAGCTGCTGGGGTTAAATGAACAGCTGTCAGTTCAGATATAGTCTGTGTTTCTAGTTTTCCTTCTACTGTGCTAAAACAAACAAAGTTGCTGTATAAACACCACAATGACCAGTGCCTATTTCAGGCAAACAAGAATGCCATGTAAGGGGAGGTATCTACCACCTACTGTGTTAATGCCTCTAGTAAGATGCTTATTTGCATACTGTGCAACTCGGGTTGGGAGTGGTGCAAAGAGATAATCCTGCTTCACTTGCATGCTGCAATAATCTCTGCTAGAGCAGAACTAGTGCTGGTGGGACTAACTGGGGCATGGTAGTTACCAAGCTGGGCTCTCAGCAGTTTGGGGATGTGGTTGTCTCTGAGTCAGCCATAATTTACAGCTATAGTTCAAAGGCTGAAAGAGTTCCTACTTCTGCATAAACACTCTGTCGTATCCAACTTCTCAAATAGTCAGCTCAGGTACTGCTTGGATCTCATAGTGTGAGTGGCCATGAAGGTGTGGTACAGATGCTGTGCCTTACTTGAATGTGTGGTTCTTAGTAAGGGTCAGTGAAGATAGTAACACACAGTGCGTGGGGCCCTTTTCTTGTTCTGGTGGTACAGGTGGCTATTCAGCCTGAGGGTTTCAGAGCTGGAGGAAGAGCCACCCACGTCCTAGCAGGACTCTGGGACCAGCCAGTGCAGTGCATAGTATGAGAGCTCACTTGATGACAGCACATAACATTTAACTCCAAATTAACAGGATATTCCTGTTTTCAAAAGCTGCTTGTCCTCTTGGAGCTTGTGGCTGTGTTACTGTAGATGAGTCAACAGCGAGGGAACACAAATAGTACTTGAACTGTCATCCAAGTATGAAAATGGGTCAGATAAAAATGGCAAGGCACAGCTCACTGAGCAAGAGGCTAGTGCTGAACAACATCCTACATGTTGCCACTTATGCCTGGTTGGATTCATATCATTCCAAGCAAGGTTACGTTCAAATGATGTGATGTGGGCTCTCTGGTACACTTCACAGCAGCTTGTGGAAAAGAAACCTTTAAACCTCTGGATTCCTGGAGGAATTTAAGTTGTTGGTGACTCTGCCTTGTGTGATTTGTAGGATGCTTGAAAAGAAAGTTTCTGTCCTAAAAAGCTTATTAAACACTATGTGTGAGTGACAGACATCAAGCACAGATGGAGGACCATGAAGTAAGCCAGTGGCCTCATTAGAATGATCATGAATTGGGTGGTGAATCAAGTTAGATCGCCTCATTTGGAAAATCAAAATTACTATACTGAATAGTCTTAAGGTACTTTTCTGTGTTTGTGTTAAAGCCAGTCATTGAGCTACTTGCTCTTGTGACTGCTTTTGTCCAAATGCTGCTGCTGCTTGTATGCCAGAACTGTGTTTTCCTGGCTACTCTAGAGTTGGGTCATCCTAAAGCCTGTTTCAAATGTGGCAAAAAGCGATGGCTCCTTCCACAGAGGTGTAATAAAATGCAGTGTTCAGGGCAGCTTCAGAATCTGGTTGTGTAGGCTTAGGCTAGTCACAAAAGAAGCTCAAATGCCAGGAATATTAACTTCAGCAGCTGCTCAGCTGCTGCGTTATTGTAAAAGCGCAAAAAAGTCAAGGGCTAGAGTGTTCTTTGTAAAGAACAAAGCTGAAGCAATGAAATCAGAACAGATTCAGTGTTGATGACACAACTTCCTCTGAGTTGAATCACCTTCACCTGATGTAGCTGTGGCAACAGAGGAAGAATTACTCCCAAATACAGAAATGTGAGGAGTAAATTGAAATGGTGAGGTTTGTGATAAAACTTCTTTTGATTTTAGGGCCTTTCAGCTATCTTGATGATGTCCCATTTAAGATAGGAGACAAATTTAAAACCCCTGCGAAGGTTGGACTACCCATTGGTTTCTGCCTGCCTGATTCTTTTCAGCTTGTCAGAGAAGCCCAGGTAAGTGATATTTTTTTGTCTATATGGGTCTTCCAAATATGATGCTGCAAATTGCTTTTAACAGGTATGCTGTAGTGGCACATCTTATGCCAGTAGTAGCAGAAGATCTGCTGGAATGTATAGTAAGGTAAAAAATATTTTGCATGGTAAGCCAGGTAAAAAAAAAATCTCTGCTTATCAGTTACAAAAATGCATAATGACATTTATTTTCTTGTATCTACTCCAAAATGAACTATGTTTTTGTGTCTTGGTTAAAGATCTAAATGCTACCCTGATGTTGCTAAAATTAAGCAGTATCTTTTAAGAGGAAGAATTGTCCTCATTCTATGAATGTTTTTGAAGATAACAGGTTTGGCTGTATTTTGTGGGTTCTCAAAGTAATGGCTTGAAGGGATTTCCAGTTCCTGTGCTCTGTGCAGTTCTGAGCAGAAATGCTGCACCAGCCATGCAGCAAAGAGGTTACAGTTTGGTACAGATTTCTTCCAGGTCTTTTAGGGTCATGACTCATACGTAACCATCTGGTAACAAAAATCTTCAAGAGCAGGATGTGGTCCTGGCAATATAGTTGGACTGCTCAGACACCAAAGAATATGAAATTAATAGAACCTGGCACATCTGCCAGTGAGCTTTTCAAAATCACTGTGTTTGTAAATTGTGTATCTTCCTTTTTAGAGCCTTAGATCCAAGGGAAGGGAAAACTTCAGTGGACAGCTGAGATAACAGTTCTCCAGGTTTTCACTGAAGCCCGCTATAGATAGGATATGATGCAACATAGTGAGTCTCAGAAAATCCTAGCAAAGGCATAGCAAGCCTTCCTGGTGTGTTGCTCTTTTGAGCTAGGACCTTGCAGTGCTGTTGCAAGAGTAGTCCTGTTTGGTTATGTGACATCATTCTGGTAAGCAGATCGTAATTTTTCTGAGTCACTGGTAGGTTATACCCTGCACATAGCTCATAGGCTTTGTTCTCTAAATGTTCTCTCATTGTTCAGAGGGCACTAAAGATGTTTGGTCTTAATAAGATATTAAAGCTGTAAATATGTTTAGTCTATTTAGAACTTTGTACTCTGTTTGGCCACTACAGTGGCTCATGCAGTTAATAATGGTAGCTTATGTAAATATCTCTCTATGCTAACTCAGCCCTGTAAGAGCTGATGTTAAATGAGGAAAGTTTACAGGATTCAGCCATGCCAGTAATAGTGGCAAAAATGCTGCTGCAGGTTGGTGTCTCATCAAAGTTGCTGGTGTACCGTTTTTGCTGGTGAGCCTACCAGTGCCTCCTCAGCCAGTGCGTGTACAGCTGATACCCAACCCTTCAGGTATCTTTTAGTGTGAACTGATTAGTACTGTACTGGTCTTTGGATGCAAAAAATACTCTGCAGTGGTCTTGGATGTAGTTCAGTAGTGCCGGGTCTCAGTGTTACAGTCCATGCGTGACATCGGTCTGACTAATGCATTACACTACCAATAACTACATCTCCTCTTCTTCCCAAGAGGATGAGAGATCTTGTGATCATCAGTAGCTCTTAAGGAAAACTAAATGTAGGAAGGAGGCAAATTGTGCGATTCTAATCCAGAGTGTAGCAGACCTTGCTGCTAGATGCAAAATTAACTATTTCTGGTGTCCCCTAGTTCTGCCAGTCAGTAAGTTACAAGAGATGCTGAAGAAAAAAGTGACTGTCTATGTTAATTCATGTAGCTCTTGGTCTGTCACTTAAGTTGCTGTTAAGGTAGTGACTGTGATTCTTATATGTTTATGTAAGTTGTATTTATTTTTTTCCCATCTCCCTTCCTCTCAGTATGACTTCTCCCTGGAAAAGAAAACAATTGAGTGGGCTGAAGATATCAAAAAAATTCAAGCTGCCCAGAAAGAAGCTGAACGCAAGGCTGAAGAAGCAATAGCAAACTCAAAAGTTGCTCCAGAGGACAACAGAATGGGGTTCCCAGAGGGACCTTGCCCCGAGGCCATGCCTCCACCTATTAACCCCATACTCGCTAGTCTGCAGCACAATAGTATTCTTACCCCTACTCCAGCCAACAGCAGTGCTGTGAAGCAAAAAGTTCTTAGTCCACCTCATCCAAAAGCAGATTTCAACCCAGCTGATTTTGAATGTGAAGAAGACCCATTTGACAAACTGGAATTAAAAACTATTGATGATAAGGAGGAATTAAAAAACATTCTTGAAATTCATGTTGGTACTACTGGGCCAGTTGTTGCCCAACTGTTAGATAACAGCTTGCCCAAAGGAAAGTCTGAGTCTGTGTTACAAGATCAGGAAGTTTTGGCATCCATAGAAAGGGCCGCGTTGGACCTCAAGCCCCTTCACAAACCCAATGGCTTTATCACTTTACCGCAACTGGGAAACTGTGAAAAGATGTCCTTGTCTTCCAAAGTGTCCCTGTCCCCTATCACTTCAGTGAGCAGTATCAAATCCCTGTCCTTTCCTAAACTTGACTCCGATGAGAGTGATCAAAAGTCGTCAAAGCTCATGGGCGCTTTTCACAGTGCTAGTTGTCTCCGCAATGGCACTTTTCTCAGCTCTTTGCAGGCCTGTGCTCAGAATAAAGCTAGCGAACTGAATGGACACCACATGGTTGATCTTTCTGCTGTAAACGAGGACAGTGGAATGGAGACATCTACATTATCCTCTTCATCCAGACTGCCGTCCCTGGCTTTGTCGACACTGTGTGCAGAAGAACAAAGCACAGTGACCACGGTAAAATACAGCGGATTAAAATTGGGTGTATGGCGGTGATGCGGAGGTGCAGAGGCAAATGTTGATTCTAAAACATTCAGCAGCTTAGTTTTTAAGCTTCTTTTAATGTGAGTCGTACGTAGATAGGACAGATCATGTACAGTAGTTCTTCATCAATGTGGGAAGCTCTTCGGTTCAAAGAGTCTTTATGTTGACAGTGTGAATCTCAGACGTACACACAGATTTCTGCACCCCATTTCCTTCTGACAAAATCTGCTTTAGGTAAACTCATGGAATGCGTTTTCCAAAGAACTTAAGATCTGGACACCAGTATCCATGAAGTCTAATGGAAAGTCTGTAGTCAGGTCCTCTAGCTGGCTCTAAAACAGCCTGAGAAATTGGAAGGCTTCTGTCAGATAAGCAGTGCATGAGTGGTTCTGAAGTCTTACTGGCATGCTGTAGCGTTTTTTGTTTTTTTTCCTAACACCATGTGCTCTACAGCAAGTGTCAGTGTTTCAGTTCTTTCATCTCTTTTTCTGGCTCAGGTTAAAGCATTATTGAGAAATACAGTGTTCTGGCAATTAGTGTATTTTTCAGAGCACAGCAGAAGAGGTGTTCATTGATCACAAGACCAAGCATAATGCAGTAAGCTTTGGCAGAAGTAGCAGTGTGCTTAGCAAGTGCTTACTGCTACAAATCAAATTCTGGGAGGAGATTCTGTCACTGTATGTAGCTCAGGTGAATTCTTGAAGCAGGAGGAGTCTCCAGGGATTAATGGGGAAGAGCACTTACAGCTAGATAGATGGGCCTTAAAATAGCCAAATTCTCACTCCAAGTATTTTAATCTTTATGCTAGAATAAATCGTGATCAAAAGTGTATTCTCTGGAATACTATTAAAAGAAGAAACAAAGAGTAAAAAAAAATCAAGAGACATATTAGGAGGAGGAATACAGATCAGAATTTGAAACTTTGTGTTTGGAAGTAACAAAACCAAGAAATTGGTGTGTTGACAGAACTAGTTATTTCTTTCTAAGATTGAAGACCCTGTATATACTTGCTTTAAATTTCCTCATTAATAAGGTCGTAGTTGATAGAAAGTTACCTGAGTTGCAAGAAATGGAAGTAAATAGAGAAACAAAAATCTCCAGAGTATGAAAAGGAGAGACAAAAGTCAGAATTGTTGGTTGTGTCAGCTGTTGGTTGTGCTGCTTGGCAGACTGGTTCTGCAGAAATGGAACAGTTGTGCGGCCCTGGTGCAGATTGGATCCCAGGCTAATGTGGAGGTTGGAGAGAACAGACTGGACATGGGTGGCCTCTCTGAACTGATGTAGTACTGAAGATGTGTAATTTCTGTGCTGTCCGACTGGAACTTCCCAAAGTGGACCTGTTCCATATTGCTTACTTTTCTGCTGCCAGGTGTCACTTAACATCTCATATTTGTGATGAGTGACAGGAAATAGTCCTATGAGGTGGTTTCTTGTAGTCTCCCCCAAGTTTCTGCCTTTGAGACTGTTAGAATGGGACAAGTAGAGCCAAGTGGTGGACGAGTCCTTATGACTGGGCTGAGGTCAGTGCAGGGCTTTTAGAAATAGGTGTGGGAGACACTGGCTTTAGAAACCAGGTGAGAGCTGAAGTAAGTGCTTAGCTCCTTTTCAACCCAGCAGAAGAGGAAGTACCGGGTTTTGCTGCCAAAGATAAGTATCGTTAGCCATTGGGAGCAGGACAGTTGGTGAAAACGTTAAACTGGTATGCCATTTTGTTTGTACGTGACATATAAACTGCAGTGCTTTGAAAGCAGAGAAGATGGGGGGAGGGTGTATGTTTCTCTTAACCCTTGTCAGAGTAAAAAAAAAAATATATATATATATATATCAATAGATGTTTCTAGGCAACAGACCTTAGAACCCATCAGTGTCACTCAGCAAGCCACTGGGTCAAGAACTGAAGAGGAGTCAGCGTGTTACAGAGCTCTGTGAGCTTGTAGCTGCCACTGTGACGGAAAAAGCAAGCTTACAATTATTGGAGAAGGAGTGCAGCCTTCTTAGAATGTAATCTACTTATAGAGTGCTGAGAGAACAAACAGTCCTTATAATGGCTGCATCCGAAGCAGTGCGGCCAGCGGGGCGAGGGAGGGGATCCTGCCCCTCTGCTCTGCGCTGTGACACCGCACCTGGAGCGCTGCGTCCACAGCTGGAGTGCTCAGCACAGCAGAGACGGGGGTCTGCTGGAGAGCGTCCAGAGGAGGGCCGCACAAATGGTCAGGATGGAGCAGCTCCCTGTGAGGACGGGCTGAGAGCTGGGGCTGTGCAGCCTGGGGAAGAGGAGGCTGAGCGAGACCTGAGGGCAGCCTGTCTGTGTCTAATGGGGGCTGTAAGAGAGGTGGGGATAGACTATTCAGTAGGTCTGTTGTGGTGGGATAGGGGGAAATGGTTTCAAACTGAAAGAGAGAAGATCTAGGTTGGATACAAGGAAGTTTTTTAAAAGGGTGGTAAGGCACTGGCACAGACTGCCCAGTGAGGTGGTGGATTCCTCATCCCTGGAGACACTCAAGGTCAGGCTGGAGGGACTGTGAGCACCTGATGGAGCTGTAGGTGTCCCTGCTCATTGCAGGGGAGTTGGACCTTTAAGGTGACCTTTAAGGATCCCTTGCAACTCAAACAATTCTGTGATTCTGTGGCTATTTCATACTACATATGTCTGCATAACTTGTCTAACCCACATACTTGTCATACCTTGTCGTACGGTAACCCTGATCTTTTCATGAAACCTTTTTCCCAATAGTGGCAATATGTAATGTTCATCACCTTATTTGTGTGTTGTCCAACAGGTACACCCAGACAAGGAGACAGAAATCCCTATGGTAAGTTCTGACATCCTTTGTGGTATTTACACAAAGCTACTGACGTGGTTCCTTAAGTAATGTTTCTTTGGATACCGAAAATCTTAGGCAGTGAGTAAACTTAGGATAAGGGAAGCAGTCTTCACTTCCTCCAAGGTAAAGGGATTGCCCGTATCTTATGGGTCTTTGCAATTGCAAAGATTAGTTGTTACAAATTTTTAGTATATAGCAGGAAATCTGGGTAATGAAATGTTTCTTTGAAAGTGTGGTGGGAGTTGAACTGTTCACAGTGCTTGTTTTTGTTTTAATGGTGAGTAGCTTCTGAAGGGCACTCTGGAAGACTCCAACTAACTGATTTTTTTTTTTTTTTTTTTCTGGTTTGGCACAGAAATGGGGAACTAAGGAAATATGTAAAAGATATAAAAATATAAAAGATGACCATCATCTAAGCTTCTGGGATTTCCTTTCTAGGTAACACACCAAAATTTCCCAGTGTCTAAAGTGCCCAACAACACGACCTGCACAAAGCAGTCGGGTGTTCCTTTTCCGGAGTTACAGCAGACTCTCTCTGCTAGCGAGAGGCAGTGCGTAGAGACAGTTGTCAACATGGGATATTCACCTGAGAATGTCCTGAAAGCCATGAAGAAGAAGGGGCAAAACATAGACCAGGTAAGAGCTTGCACGGGGAAAAAAGAACCTTCAAGTTTTGATTCTGCTGAGATGCAGCCTTGGCTTTGCATAATGGAGGAGATGGGAATGCTTCAACAGTGGTTTTGCAGAACTGCAGAGAACTTGTCACCTTCTCAGAAAAAGTTTCCAAAACCAAAGATGCCTTTCCCTGGAGGTCTGCTCTTGTGGCTTACTGGAGCCAGAAAAGGCTCTCCAAGGCAGTACTGACCGACTTTCTTTGTGTGCTCTGACTGTGGTGCTTCCTGCCTTGTGTTGCCTGAAACACTTGCTAAAACCAGGTCACACACAGAGCATAAAGCTCAGTGGATTGAAGTGTGGCTCTGGGTCTTGGTTCACCTTCAAACAAAGAAACACTTTGAAGCAAGAGGAGTGTGGCTAGACTTTGTGTGCTGGCCCTGTGCTCCCTGTGCATTGTGCGGAATGTTACAGAGGAATTCCTCCACCCAAGATAGCTTCTGCTCTGTGTAGGATTTGGCATCTTGTAGATCTGCTTTGCTTGCCCACTGTCTGTGAACTGAGCCGTGTAAGAAGCTGTAGTGCCAAACAGAAGAATGTCCACCTGTAGGGCAGTTTTAAATCCTGCTGTATTTGCATGCTGCTTTCTCTCTTGTTCTTAGTGCTACCTTTTTCCTACCTGACTTTCTGCCCCTACCTCTCAAAGCTGAGAATGGGTAAGCACAGTGGTAACAGTTTCTGGAAGTGTCAGTAGGGATTTGCAGCTTCTTGACATGTTGAGGCATTCTTAAAAAGCTGAATGCTTCCAGGCTTCATTTCAGCTCTTCAGTTTGAGAGGAAACTAAAAGCTGACTTAGGTTGACAGCTGAACCTACAGTATCACTAAAAATATGTGTAGTATAAAAAGCACAGTTAATCTTAAATTCCTGCCCTTGCTCAGTGATTAGGAAATGGAAGATGAAGAACAAAGAAGGACAGAGGACTTGTTTCCTTTTCCTGAACTCTTACAAGTCATCTGAATACAGAGTAGGGACAGTTTTATCTTGTTCCATGGCATGGAGTCCTGCTCTGTTCCTCTGGATGTACAGAGAGTGCAACCACATGCTGCGAATGTCACTGTGAAATTAGCTTTTCTTTCCCTCAGGTTTTGGATTACCTGTTTGCACACGGACAGCTTTGTGAAAAGGGCTTTGATCCACTTCTTGTTGAAGCGGCTTTGGAGATGCACCAGTGTTCAGAGGAGAAGGTGAGGGCACGTTGTCCTAAACATTAGTCAGAATGCACTATGAAAGGGAATTCCAACAGTAGTTCCTCTAAAGTGATGAATGTAATTCTAGCTTCATGGTAATGCTGAGCTGCTTTCAGAACTACCTACCAAAGAATATCCAGGTGGTGATGTGTGTTGATGTGTTACAGTTCTTCATTGCTTTATTTACCATTACTTGCATGCATTTTTATGGGAAGATTTTTTTAAAGACACAGGTTATTTTGGTTGCAATGTTTTGAATAAAGTGTCCTCTTTTGGCAAAGTGCTTGGTTTGGAGACAGTTAATTTCGGAAGTAGCAAATTATTTCCAAAACCCTGCCAGCTTGTCCTGGCTATGAGTTTCCTCTGTTGTATAATTGCATCTGCCTGGCTGCTCAGCAAATTGAGCTAGGTATCTGTCTGAAACAAGCTGGAAAGTACAGTTTCTGTGGGCCTGGTTTATGCTGTGTGTGTACTTTAGAGGCACTGAAGTTACAAGGGCAGGAACAGATAGGTAGCCAGGGCAGGGGATGGTGGTATGGCTTTTCAGTGTATGCCAAGCTGTTGTGTGCAGAGCCATTACAGGAAATCTTAAGAGGTGCTGTCTTGTCCCCACAAATGTTCACAGCTACTGATGAGCTTGTAAACAGAAACAGTATGAAGATAAGAGAAATGACTGTTTATAAAACAGATTTGCTAGAAGCTTAACCCTCCCACTCCTCACCCTCTGCAAATTGGAAATAACTAGTTTCCTGATTGTTCATTTTAGTGCATTGCCTCTGGAGTGGAGGCAATGCAGGTAGCAGAATGTTCATAGGAATTTGTTTTGCTACTTGTCACTATTTTTCAGAGCTCAGTTAGGATTTGTTTGATGTTGGTAGCTTAGCACACTGTGTTAAAAGGACTCTGGTAATATCCCAGTTTTACCCTGGATTTGGAAGAGCCATTTGATAGCAAAGGCTGTTTTATCATTGTGAAGTCAAAATAGCTTGAAAAAATTGCAGTAGCAGTGGGAGTTGCTGGATGAAGAGCAGGGAAACATTGATCTGGGTGTCTGAATTGGGCCAGGCTGATGAATTTGTTTACTAAGAGGCACACTCCCACAGACTAAGCCTTGGTACCTGTGTTGAAGAAGACTTGGAAATTCAGAACTGCAAATGTTGGAAATTGAAAATGAGGCCCAGTGGTTGGCTGCATAGAGAGACAGAGCTCTGCCAGGCTGGATGGACTGGGCAACTTGGTATAGTGGGAGTCATCCCTGCCCATAGCTGGGAGTTGAACTGGGTGGTCCCGGAGGTCTTGTCCAGCCCAAACCACTCTGTGATTCTGTGACCGTCATGGGAGTAGACTTTTCTTCAAATTGAACTTGTATGGGCTGTACTCAGGGAGTGGGACCTGACCCGATGGAGCGTCCGCTTGCTGTTGACTGTCTTTGTGCTGAATTCCAGATCTGACAAAGACTGAGCACTGATCCTCTGTTTTTCTTGCAAATAATTGTCTGTCTCTTTCAGATCACGGAACTTCTCCAACTTATGAGTCAATTTAAAGAAATGGGCTTTGAACTAAAGGACATTAAGGAGGTCTTATTATTACATAACAATGACCAGCAGAATGCTTTGGAAGATCTAATGGCCCGTGCAGAAGCCAGCTGAAGCACATTCCTGAGTTCTTGGCGTGCAATGGAACAGCCCCACCACCTTCACGTTCAGTGTGACTTGCTCTCAGCAAGGAGTCCAGTTTTTTGCATACATGGGAAAGTGAATGAGCAAGCCTGCCTGCGTGCATCACTCCAGCATTTCTCTTTTCACTGGGAGCCAACTTTCTTTCTTAAATTAAATTTTTGAAGTGTCCTTTCCTAAGTTTCCTTTTTCCAGCTTGGCCACGGAGATTTTAGACTGCCCAGCTGCTCTACTGGAATTGTATATAGTCAGAGACAGGAGTGGTCCTCCTCACTGTTGCACTGGAGTTGGACAGGGGATTACTAAATTTGTTCTGAAACATATAATGCTTTGGTTCTTTGAAGCTGCTTTCTTGGTGTCTGCTTGTACTGAATTACTTGACTGTGTCACAGTCCAGATTATCTGGTTAAATCTGACCTTTAGTGCAATGGAATTTTATTTTTTGATTGAGAGTTAGTCTGTAACTTAGTGAAACACTGGTTTGGAAACTGTCGCCATGCATAAAGAGAGAAGCTGTTCCTCTTGTTTCTTCTTTAACTCATGCATCCAACACTTCTGCAGACGTAAGTGTCCTATGCTAAGTGGTTATAAGTTCTCTTGAAATATAACCCAGACCTGCAATTTGTGGTGGTTCTTGAACCTGAAGGCAGAGAGCTGGGGCTCAGTATTCTTAATCCCCCTGGCTTGTAAGATATTTAAGAAAATGCTCTGCTAGGAAATCAGTTATCTTTTGTTCTAAATAATATTCAATGTGATGCAGGAGGTTTCTTTCAAGCACTTTCTTTAAAATAAACATACTTGCTGCATTAGTTCCATTTTTCACACTGCTGTAGAATTACATAGTAACACCTAGTACTAGAAATCAGGTAGTCATAGAATCATAAGATAAGAATTGGAAGGGACCTCTGGAGATAGAGTAACTGCTTGCTAAAGCAGGTTCCCTCCAGTAACTTGCATGGGAGTATGTCCAGGTGGGTTTTGAAATCTCCAGAGAAGGAGACTCCACCTCTCTGTGCAGCCTATCCCAGTGCTCTGTCATACTCTTAAATAAATCCTTGTGGAATCTATCCAACAACAAAATGTCCATTTCCTCAGAAAAATGTGGAAGCATAGAAAGCATGTTTTGAAGGGGCTTCTCCTGCACTAGCTGTTTAATAAGCAAGAAAAAATTCTATCACTTCTGTTCTTACTCAATTTTCCAGAAGGCAAATCCTTTCAATGAGTATCAGAGTGACTTGCAAGAAGCTGAAGTTCCAGAGATACAAGCATCAGCTCTGCACTTTATCCTGGAGTTCCAGTGCTGCCTCTTATTTCAGTCCAGTCAGATGATGTCAGGAGCACTGCCTCTGCTGCTGGTTTTAACTTCTCTCTTGTTCCTTCTGGAGGACCTGCTGGAAGAGGTAATGTGCATACTGCTCTTGAGGTGACTGGTTGGTGTTGATGTTGCCAAGCATGTTGCTTGCTAAAGTTGATGGGAGATTATCTAAAAACACAGGAGGATAACACTGAATCATCTGGGACTGGTGAAAAGAAATCCAAACTTATCACATCTGAGGAAATGCTGAATATTGGAATGGCATGGGATAGTCTGTTAACAGCTGAGGAATAACAGCAGTATCAACTCTGACAGATGATGGCTGATGCACAAGAACCCTTTTGGTTGGGCTTCTTGTGTTTCCAACAAGAGTATGTGCGTCATTTTGGCAGAAGGATCTTCTCAATTTCATCCAAAGAGTTTTTAGTTGTCAAGTGAGTGATACCAACTTTCTCCTTGTTTTCCTCATTGCCCCCCCTCTTGAAACATGGTTTTCTAACAGCACTGGATTTTTCTGTTTTGGTGCACTGTGGACTTCAGATTATCACACCACCTTTTTTAGGCCTCGTGGACTACAAGGAACCATCTTGGAGTTTAATCCTGAACATTCATCAAGGATTTCCACAAAGAGCCCATCTACTATTAGGCTCTCATAAGATGCCTTTTTGTTCCAGATGGAATGGATCCAGGTGGGCAGCTTATCGAATCATTCATTTGAAGATGAAGAGTAGCATCAAAACATTGCAGCTGTGTGTGATCAGCAGCCTGGCATGGGATTGTCAGTCTCATTTTTCACAGAGGGCACATCAGAGATAATTGTAGACTGGCAGTTTCACTGTTGGGATCTGTACTTAGTTTTTCTCTAATTAGTGCTCTAGAATGATAAGGGTTCTGGATACCTTTCACTTTTAACCTCTGCAAAAGCATAGCTGTAGTGAGCTGACAAATGAGAAACACAGACATGGAGTAATTCTTTCCAATTTCAGAAGCCCAGGAAATAGAAGTCTATTCTGGCACTGCTGATGACAGCCTAACTGGAGATGTTGTATTCAAGGGGCATCCAGATTCCTTCTGTTTAATTCTGTTTGGTGGTTGTGGAGTGTATTCAGCAATGGAAACAGCTTCCTATTTACTTCAATGCACAAACTGTTAGGGCAATTATCTTGTTGAGGGCAGTTTGTTTCTGCTTGGCATAGTCTTAGCTGAACTTGGACTTGTTAATCTCTTTTGTCCCCCTGGCAAGAAGACCCTGGAAACACAGATTTTTTCTGGCCTGCTGAGATGTAAAGGAAGGAGGGGAAAAAAACTTATCTTGGAACCTCTGAATACTGCTCTGTACTAAACTTACAGGCTTATTGAGTAGTAGTACATCAAGCACATTCAAAAAAGGCAGGCTTTTCAGCTGGATGTTGGGATGGATGGGTGGGATGGAAGGGGATGGCTCTGCATCTCAAAGTGAGCGTTAGTGTCTTGCAGGAGCACAAAAGTGCCAGACAAAGGAAAGTGAGATGTGACTAAAGTAGAAGGCTGTATGTGAATCCCAGCAGTATCCCGCCCAGGCTCTATGGATGAGGGACATCCACATGAAAAACAGCAGGCTTTATAGCTGATAAATCCAGAGGTCCTTTGATTGTCCATGGTACCTACATCTGTAGAGTTCATAGAATCATAAGGATTGGAAGGAACCTCTGGAGGTCATCTGCTCCTGCCCCCTGCTAAAGCAGGTTCCCTAAGTAGATTGCACAGGCAAGTGTTCATATAGGTCTTGAATATCTCCAGAGGAGGAGACACCACAACTTCTCTGGCAGCCCGTTCCAGTGCTCCATTACCCTCGCAGTGAGAAAGTTCTTTCGCATGTTGGTATGTATGAAACTTCCTGTGTTCCTGTTCAGTCTCATTGCCCCTTTTCCTGTCACTGGGAACCACCAAAAAGAGCCTGCTCCCATCCACTTGACACCTGCTCATAGATATTTATAAGCATTGATCCCCTCCTCAGTCTTCTCCAGGCTGAACAGCCCCAGCTCTCAGCTTTTCCTCATACAGGAGATGCTCCTATCCACAGCCATCCCTGTGGCCCTCCACTGGACTCTCTGGGTAGTTCCCTGTCTTGAACAGGGCACAGTTCTCTAGGTGTGGCCTAACCAGGACAGAAAGGAGGAGGATCACCTCCCTCAACCTGCTGGCCACACTTTTTTAATGCACCCCAGAATACCATTGGCCTTCTTGGCTACGGGGGCGCACTGCTGGATCATGGCCTACCTGTCATCCACCAGGTCCTTCTCTGCAGAGCTCCTCTCCAGCAGGTCTCCTAGCCTGTACTGATGCAGGTTAGTCCTCACCAGGTGTAGGACCTACTCTCGCTCTTGTTGAATCTCATCAGGTTCCTCTCCGCCCAACTCCCAGCCTGTCCAGGTCTCACTGAATTGCAGCACAGCCTTCAGACACGTCAGCCCCTCCTCCTGGCTTTGTATCATCAGCAGACTTGCTGAGGGTGGACTCCATCCCTTCGTGCAGGCTACTGATGAAGATGTTGAACAGGACTGGAATGAGCACCAGTTCCTGGGGAACACCAGCAGGTCCTGGAGTTTTATTTGAACTGGTGGGCTGCAGCTGCTCTTCAGTAAGTGCAGAGCCCTCATCAGGAGGTCATCTTGGTCTGCTTTTATTATGCCCAACAGAGCCCAACAACTCTCGTAGTTCAGAAATACAGGAACTTTATATAATATTCTGCAGTTCCTTGAAATCTGCAATCTTCTATGCACTGATAGCACCAAGTATTATGCTGTGCATTGTTCAAGTTCTAAATGCGTAAAATATCAGTCTTGAGGCATCATTAATTTGCTGATTCTGCAGAAGAATAATTAATAAAACCCTCAGATATGACTCCCAGCGTCATGGTTCCCATCGCTCATGCTCTTTGACTTCAGCTGATGAAGAACTTGCTGGATATTACAAGCCCTGGGCCTGCTTTCTCCTCTAGGCATGCATGGATGTGGTCTGCTTTGGGCAGAGCTACCAGAGGTCTCTAGAGAGGTGGATGCAGAGGTAGAAGGTGCTTCTTTTTTCTGTGGCTTATTTTTGTTCTATTAAAAAAAACAAAAAACAAAAAACAAAAAAAACAAAAACAGAAACAAACAACAACAAAAAAAAAACACAACAGAAACACACACACAAAAACAAAACAAAAAACAAGAAGCTTGGGGATCAAAACTCATGTTAGAACATGGAGCTGGGAGAATTGGACTCTGGGAAGGGAAGACAGCCCAGCTCCTTACCTCAATTCACGTTTTTCAATAGTAAGTTTTTTAGTTCATCAGGACTCTGAAGGGGATTGCATTGATTTCCATTATTTTATTAAAATACATCCAAAACATCTCATCTGGTGTCAGTGTTAGCTCCTGGAATTCTCCTATGAGGTGCACGACATTAATTACCTTTATTTAAAACAGAATGATGTTAAAATGTAGCTGGCAAGCATCCAGGAGATCTGGGGATAGATGATGGGCAGGACTAGGGCAAGCTTCCAATGGACTGTATGCTGTAACACTGAGCCTCACCTCGCCAGCTTCCAGTGATGGGACTAAGGTCAAAACTTGTGTAAGAAAGGCATTCCAGCCTGTAGGGCAACAATTAATTTCTGGTTTGGAGCTGGCCCTCTGGGTTCAGGTAAAGTAGGTACCCAGCTCTGCTTCCCTGATGCAAAATAGGAGTTTGAAACACGAAAATACGGTTCCTGATAAGTCAGAAAAGCTGGAAAGTAGAAAAAAGTGTTTACCGTTACTGCTATGAGCAGTTCGTTGTGTTGCTTGTTTAGCTTCTCACACCTAATTCTGAACAGGTTCCTGTCTGGCAGTAGACAGTCCTGAACAGGCAAGAACCATTGCCAGTGAAGAAGCAAAGTATTTAGATCAAACCTCTGAATAAAGTCATCTTTCTGGTTAATGTGTGTTAAGTTCTTTTCACAGTCACTGGAACCACGCTGTAATAACCTCTTTGCTTATAGAGGTTGTTTTTAAAAGTGAGAATGGAGATATCAATCCGTGGTAGTGAAAGATGGAAAGTGATACTTACGAAGCCCTTGTTACTTACAAAGTCTCTTGTTATCCAAGAGGAATACCAGTGGGTGTTTTCCCTGCAGCGTTGTTCTTGCATCTGTAGTGAGTTTTCTGGATTTTGCATCATGGGGTGGCTGAAGCTGGGAGTGTGTTCTTGAGGTGGCTGATAGGGAATGAAGCCATGGAGTGGTGGGGATTAACCAAGTGCGGTAGGGGAAAGGTGCTTCTAAAGAAATGGCATAATGTGATGAGATTTGGATGTTTTGGGCACCGTGCATCATTAGTTACTCTGGTACTGTTATGAACAAAGCTCGGTGTGGAAGTGTTGGGTTGAGGCTGGGTCTCTGAGATCAGCAGATTGATTCACATGCCTGGTAAATGGCTTTCGGTGTTGTAACTTTGTCAGAGGTTGTTCTGCCTTTTGTGCTAGCTGCTGCTGAATACTGAGATCTGTCTGTCACGATGAGAAGTGTGCAGGCAAAGTCCAAGCTGCAGACTGTGCTTGGAGCCAGAGCCCTAGTGCTGCCTGCCGGCGCCTGGCTGGCGCTGCTGGAGCTGACCATGCCCCACGAGCTGTCCTTGTGCTGTCGTAGGCGAGTTGGTTCCTGGTTCTGATGTGGGTTTTCTGTGACACCTGGCTGGGCAGCTCTCCTTGCCCTCCGCCAGCTGGGCAGGCAGCTCACTTCTGCTGAGATGATCTTTTACAATCAAACATTTTTACAGTCATTTGGATCATGTCTACTTTAGAAATTTTACCAGAGTTCTGTAGTAAACTGAATTTTATTTTAAATGATGTAAATTATTCAAATAAAATATCAAGCATCTGCATAGCATTAATAGTCTTTCTTTTACTTGCATACAAAAGTGATTCTGCCTTACTCAGTATTTATTGGATTGCATGCGGTCAGGCTCTCAAAATCTTAGCAAAAAACACACAACCTGCTGTAACAAAAATCACATACATTCTTCAAGTTGAAATGAAAACCATTCATACCAGGTGTCAGTGCAGTATCAAACAGCTGGAGGGGGTGACACTGGCACTGGTAGCACACTCACATGGGTTAAAGCAGCATCCAAGTAATAACCTGAGGGCGGAGAGGAGAACGGTACCATTTTCTGTAACTGCTCTTGTCGTTTCTTTTGCAAACTATGAGCCCAGTTTTGGTGTCTCACAGGCATGCAGCACTTCAAGCATGGCAGCAGCCCCATTACTGCTGAAGAGAAGTGAGTTTTTGCAGTTAGGGTTGCTTATTTAATTTTTAATTTTAGCAGAATCTCATGTCCAGCAGGGAATATAAACTGTGAATAGACTGCACCTGGTTCAATATAATTGTTAATCTCATGGATTAGCTAGATGGCTTCAGTTTTAAAAAGACTTTTAATTGCTACATATTTTTATAGCATTCCTGGCTGTTTCTGCACTGAACAAGTAGTTCCTGTTCTGAGGACTTATGCTGGTGCTCAGATCTGCCAGACTTGCTTGTTTTCCAGAGTAGACCTGCTGCACAGGTGGCTCAGTTTTAATAATGGAGAAAATGCCACTTTTCTTTCACTTGTGGGAATTTTTCCCACTCCTCTGTTTTGTTACAACCACCTCTGAAAATACTGAGGTTAGGACGTGCCACATCATGCTGTGTGAATGGCTCTTATGTGTCGCGTTATGAATGCCCAGCTTGGCTAAGAGTCTGAACATGTTTTTGCTGAGTTGGTCTTTAAAAAGCACTTCCCTACTGGGTTAAAGTACACTTAATTGATCCTCATGTCCCAAGTGCCAAAGTACATGGAGGGAAAGTTTTCCCCCCTCTACCAGCTAGCATTACATTGCTGCAGGACCTCTCCTTTTCTTCTGACCTGTGACACATCCTGCATTCCCACATTCCTCTTCAAACTTATTTGCAAAAGTAAGGCAGCTCTGTGACGGCCTCATTTTGTGTGTTTGCTGAGAACAGTGGGAACTACTGTAATTGCTTGCATCTGTTTTTACTTTCAGAAGGTGTAAGGACTGCCTAGCTGCCTTGTGTTCTCCTTACCTTATGCATGGGGAAGCTAGCCCTGTCTCCAGGAGGACATGAGATACTGAGACTGAAGAATCTTGCTCCTGAATGCCTCATTTCTCTGAGGAAAGAAGGCTTCCTAAAACAGGACTGGGAGACCTCATTTCAGGTGTGATATGCTGGTAGCCTAAGACCTAAGATACTGGAACCATCCTGAAGGCCAACATCAACTCAGGCCCTGCAGGGGCTCCGTTCTCTGCTCCACACAGCATTCTCACTTGCAAGATGGAGACTCTTCCATGCATACACCATAATCCCAATAGATCAGGGCACTAATGTAAGACCTTCTTCCTCAATTACAGTTGTAATCCTTTCCCTCCACTTCTGCTACCCAGTGCTACGCTGTGTGATGTTCCTGGGAATGCTTGCACCAAATATGCAATCCAGATAACTGCGTAACTGCTATTGCTGTAGCTGTTGCTCTGCAACTCCCAGGCTCCTCTGGGTAGCTGCAGAAGCAAGCAGCAACATTCACAGCTGGTCAGAGAGCAGTTTTCATAACCATTGGCATTTATGCACTGAGCATACTTTGATCTATTACAGGCATAACTGAGGAAACACTGAGGTGGCCAATTACGCTGTGGCAGCCCAAATTTTGGAATGAGAGCGCTTGCACATTCTTGTTTACACTAGCACATTTCAAGGTCTCTTGTGGCTTCAGCAAGAGGGGTTGTGTGACTCAACCATGACGCACACGTGGCAGCAGGGATCCTGCAGGGTTCCAACTGTTTGTTTGGTTGTTCTTGACTAAAACATCAGCTTCGTGCCCCAACAGCACTGTTAGCCTCTTAAATCCCACCACCTATAACTGGACTCTTCTGATGTGAAAAATCAACTGTCAACCCAGAGCATGCACACTCTGGCTGAGCTGTCACGCAGAGATCAGACAGCATGCAGACAGTAAGCTTTGGATCCTTACTGTTAGCACCAGTGTGAAATTCAAGTGCTTAGTAACATGCTAGATGATCTACAGGATGAAATCCCATGTACATAAGCCTTCTACTTGACCAATTGTTGGCTCTGACTTAAGTGACTTCTAGAAGTTATGGAGCATTAGTCCCAAGCAAAGAACAAATGCTCAAATAGTCATTCTTCTGAAGGGACCGGTACATCTTGTCCTGCCTTGATTTTCATTTAATTCTGGACTTGTTCCTTTGGTATCCTTTAACAGTGCCTTCTCTGTTTCCTCACTGCTGTTTGCAAGTACTTTTCTGGATAGCTTTTGAACATTTCTACTTGTACCTTGCTTCAAAATGCTGTGTGTTTTTTTCCTTTCCAATTTTCATGGCCGAATAGAAGTGCCTCTTACACAAGAAGCTCTGAATACTGTGTACAGGACTGCCAGCTGCTTGGTGAGATATTTACAGGCTGCTGAACGTCACATATAGGAAGGGTGCAGCTCATTGTGGGGTGTTAAAGAAATAGAATCCTTGTGGTAGTCAAGCCAAGTAGTCACCTTTCATTTACTGAGAATTTTCTCCAACCTTATCTAAATTGCACACCAATCACAAATATCAAACTAAAAGCAATCCCCTACCCACCTACACCCTGCAGCACGAGCTGCAGTGAAACACTGGCTGGGTCCAAAACTGTTCTGGTGCTGTTCTTGTGCATATGTAAGAAAGGAAGGTCTAAACCGGTGGAGACGTTTGCAGAGATGTGTCAGGACTAGAAGAATCAGATAAATAGATCTGAAGCTGAGCTCTCATGGTTTGGATACACTTTGATTTCAGTACCAAGATTTCATCTAGCTTAACGATGAAATTCTGAAAATCCTGGGAAAGAAAGCAAAAAGAAAATTAGAGAACAAGAGTAGCAACAGGTTGTAGCATATTTTTGGTATTGTTTTCCATTCTGCAGTGGAATGCATTTAATCAGTTTTTCCTTCTTGATGTCCTGACTCTCGTAAACAGCAGAACTCAATGCCTCTAAATACTGAATAGCAACCTGCCATACAGTAGGATAAAATGTGATATGAAACTAATTAAAACTGAAATGGATGCAGTTGTTTTTAAGTAGGGCTTGCATTAATAAGGGAGCACTCAGAGCAGAATTTGGTGCCCTTGTTGACTGGTCAGTATCTAAGAAGTTGGGAAGTGTCAGGATCCTCAGGGCTAGGGACTGCAGCTACTGCCACACAAAAATTAGTAATTTTCAGCCTTGTTTAGCAGCACCCCAGCTATCAGGTGCACTCTATGTCTTACCCACTATCTTGTCCTCTGTCCTGCAGGGACACTGACACTGTAATGAAGACTAGTCCAGCTGTCCCAGCTTATGTTTCATAAGCACTTTAAACACCATATGGTTCAGTACATGGCTGGTCTTGGCAGGAATCTCTCCTGTGGATGTAAGTTTCATGGCTGGAAAAGTTGCAGCCATCTGTAAATGGAAGGATATAAACTGGTGTGGGAGTCCAAGCTTATTTCAAAGAAAGGTCATGCTGTGAAATATGTCCAATAGTGTTAAGTTATTCATCTATTGCTGGAAGGCCTGGCAAGACTGTCATAATTCTGCTAGTTAGAAAATGGTGCTTGCTACAAGGGGCAAAGAAATGTCAGGCTATGGAGCTGGCTAGTCTCCAACTGCCTGGGATCAACTGGCCCAACAATTACCAAGAAAAACCTCAAAATGCAGCTGTGAGAATGAAAAAAAGGTTGCCTTTTATCACTGCATTTTCTGCCACAAAATTAATGCAGTTAATTGCTCTTGTGCTGCTTTGTAAACTTTCATGTGTTATCTGGGAATGCATCACATGCAGCTGGAAATCACAGCATATAAACCACATGATGGCTCCATTCCAAATTCCCTGAGGGTAAAGTCCCTGTAGCTACACTACAAATCTGAACTGTGAAAGCAATTAAAAGTCATTTTGGTAATGTAATGTAGTAATGGAATTTGGCTTTATTGATAAGACAAAGGATTGGGAAGGGCAGGAAGTTCTCACTGAAAAATGTTAATTACTGAGGTGAGAGAAGAGGCTTGCCACAGTGCTGTGACACACATCTACTAGGAGGCAGGAGAAACTGAGAATGGGAATTGCACGGCTGGTAGTGCAGGCGTTGGTCCTGAGCTTTAGTCTTTACTAGTGTGAAGGTAAGCAGATAAGCCAAAGAACACTTGAGTGACAGAAACTCGTGAAGGCCTAAGACACAGCAGTTATTGACTCAATGAGTTAGCTAGCACTCAGGTTGAGTGGGGCTCGGGGTGGCATATCTGCAGCGTGATAAGCAGGGGGATCTCAGAAGGAAGGCACTGTGGCACCCACTATACCACCAACTGTGGCATCCTACCTCATGTTCTATGGGTGTACTGTTTTCTGCAGAATTGATTTACTTGGTTCAGCCTGTGAGGAGGAAAATCTTGGCCTGGAAAGCTGCCCTGTTTGGTGCAGTCCAGTACTAAGGACACAAAATAAGGTGAAGTTGTCTTATCAGAAAAAAGCAGTTCAGAGTTGGGCCATCAGCTCCCTTCTCCCACAGCAACCAGGCAGTGTGGGAACTAGCAAAGCCATGCTGGGTACTAAAATGGTGCAGGCTCTGTTAGGACTCGGGGAGGCCCCAGAGAATGAGGAGAAAATCACAAGACATGTCACTTCATTAATTCAGGTTAACGATCTTCCGAATCAATTATGCAGGCTCAATGGGCAGTGAAATCTTCATCTAAAACACTTACCGTTCCTGACATCTGATTTATCAAGTGTTCTTCCTTGAAGCACAAGGATGCCATTTCATCCAGCTGCTGCCGATGGGCCTGAATCATAGCCTGTCTGA